TTTTCAAACTTATCTGCCTTGCATACTTATCGTAATGCTTTCCTGGGTTAGCTTCTGGATTAATCATGAAGCTACATCAGCTCGTGTTGCCTTAGGTTTGTTTATTGCATCTATCAGTGTGAACGTGAAGTAATTTCTATATGTTAAAATTTTAGCTTAACAGAATTTATCACAATTGAATTTGTTTTTTCTATTTCTTCTCAAATGATTTAATACAAAAAGAGCACGATTATATTTTAGGTACAACAACAGTACTAACTATGACAACAATTAGTACTGGAGTAAGACAATCATTACCACGTATTAGTTACGTGAAAAGTATCGATGTTTACCTTGTAAGTTTATTTGTATTTTCCTCTAATAAATTGATGCAATCAAAAATAATCATTAATTAATGTACTATAATTCGCAATTGATAATTTTTTTAAATTAAATGATATTTTAAGGTAATATGTTTTATATTTGTATTTGCGGCACTATTGGAATATGCGGCAGTGAATTATTCATATTATGGTGAACAAAGTAAGCCTTGTGAAGGAGTAGTAAGTAAATGGAAGAATGAGAGAATGAAAGGTCATCGTGGCACAAAAGATAAGGAAGATGTCAACTTGTGTAGTCTCGTGTCTCATTCCTTAATGGAGGTATGAATCTTTTTCGCTATTCTTTTCTTCTTATTAATATCACGATTTTATTTTAAATTTTTGAAATTATTTTCGTAAATTTGAATTTCAAAATTAATCTCTGAAAGCTTTATATTGATTAATCAATTAATTTATGAAATACAATAACCTATAAAATGTTTGTTTTTAGTCATAAAATTTCATTCCTTATTCATTCTTGTTTTTACTTCCGACATTATTTCAATATAATATTTTTGAATTTGCCCTAAATATTTCTATTTCACAGTTATTCATCATTCTAACCTTTCATTCAATCCAAAATTATACTGTCACTCATCTGTTGACTCTCTATTTCTCAGAAATATATCTGTTGCCTTCTCTTAGTTAATAACATTTCCTATATTTTCTGCAATTTCATTGCAGAAAATTGAAAAAAATCAAAATACTGAATCAGCAGCATCCAATGAAGTGCTTTATGAAACTGCCGTTGCTAACAGCAGCGGTGAGAAGCGGTCCCCATCGCCGTTGCTATCACTAATGCCTACCAGAGAGAGCATAAATTTGAGCATTCCCGATTATCCTCGATTTACCGCTGATAATAAATTGTGGTACAGAAAGCGGTAAGTTATAAACAGTTCTTTTTTTGCTTCTTCTTCCTCTTTGCACTGCATTGAATTGGTGTTTCCGAAAGATTCAATTTAAGCAACAAATGATGTAGTCAGTTTTATCGTAATTGTAGTTGATAATTATGATAAAGATAGCGACAATATAAGGATAATTGTGATAGAGACAGTGATAAGATAGTGACAATTGTGATGAAGATAGCGATAAGGCAGTAACAATTGTGATAATTCTGATATAATGACGATTGATGTATAAATGCGATAATGGCTTATTATTGAAAGTCATAATGAAATCACAATGAAAGAGAAAAATAAGATTTCTTCCAAAAGTTAAACATACTGTTATAATTAAGTAGTATGTAATTTTGCATGTATCATGCACGAAATACTGCAACTACAATTTGCTACTGCAGTTGCAAAGGGATGAAGGATACTTTGATGTTATGTTTATTATTGCGATTGCATCGCTATTTCATTTTTACACATCTGTGTTACAATTTTTCTTAATTTCTAGAGTGGAAAGAGTTCCGGATAAGTGCAAGTTGGTCTAATTTTCTTTTAACAAAAATATAACTGAAAAAAATTAATATTTATAGCTGCAGGCAACATGGGAATCTGGGCATGAAACTTCGAAGTCAAATTATCAAAATTCACGTCCAATGGCTACATTCACAAGCACGTTCCGTTGCCGCATCTTTTCACGTGCGCAACGTAAATGTTATCGACAAAAATTCACGAATCATTTTTCCACTCAGTTTTATTATTTTCAAGTAAGTCAGTGAAAATAGATTCAAAGTTCTACCCAATGATCTTACTTAGTCGTTTACATTTTCATCTTTACTTGCCTAAATAAGCTGTTAACTTAATTAACAGCTTATTTCTAATAAGTAATAAAAATAAAGCTATATGTTTGCCTTCCTCTTTTAACGAATTTACCATAATGCTATGCATCCTCGTTAATTTACCTTCCTATCCATTTATTTAAATAATAAGACGCAAATAAACTCATTTAATTGATAAGAGTAATTAGATGAAACTAATTGTGCTGTATATAGCATGAAAATAACGTATAAATAAATTTCGTACTTTGTCGTTAAATATTCTAATGTCATACAGTTTATCAGAAAACAGATTTGACATTACTAATGAATATGAAATCGAATGTTAGCTTTTTTATTTTCCCTGCATGTTCAAATTTGCTAATCATTTCAGTACATGTTATTGGGGATATTACACAATGATGCAATGAACAATCGGAATGTCAATGAATGAATTTCAATCACCAACAGCAATTTATCATCTTCTGATTGTTATTTATTCGGATATATTATTTAAAAGAATCAGTGCGAACAATTAAGCATTGTTCTATATGTAAAAACTCCAAATATCACCTTTCACATAAATGAAAGCTGAAAAATTGCACAAAATCCAAATATTTTAATTCCTCTTCAAAAATGTGCTGAAAATTGAACCCTTTTCATGTGCGTAAAACAATGATATTCAGTAGAATTTTAATTAAACGATAAATTTTTTGTACAAAGCAACATTTAGTATTAATATAGCTTCAAAAGTAATTTTTTTCGGGAAAACAATTAACAATTTCAGTTTTCCTTTTCCGATATATTTACAAAAATATTAATTACTGACTTACACCGTATTCTGTTCTTTGTTATTTTATGGATGAGAAAAATCAAGTTCATCTGATTATACATCACAATGAAATAAAGTTTAACAGCTTACACTTCATTCATGTGTTTATGCCACTTCATCCATGTGCTTATGCTACTAAGTGAAAATTAATGATGACTTGTCTCATTAGCTGACCGATGGCAATCACAATTGATAACTTCTAAGGAGAACAAGACGAACATCCAAACATCTAAATACCTACCACACAACTTTTCTTCAATCCAAAATTAACAAACTGTCTATAGCACCACGGATGCAGGAATTATTCCATGTTTCTTTTATGCAAAAAAATTCTTTACGTCATGTTGGTCTATCGATTTAATCCTTCATCTCGTATCGTATCGCTGAATAAGTGAACTAAAGTAGATCTAAAAAACTTATTATTGATTAGAAATAAGAAGAGAGTGAATTAACAATCTCTTCTTATTTCTTTCCTTTCTTCCACAATATCCTGTTGTATTGTTTTGTCTTCCCGTATTTATTTTTTTAAAATAACAAATATGAGGCAATCCTCCCTTTATATTTCATCCGAAGTGAAACCCAAAAATTTCCCTTGATTAGTTTGTCTAAAAAACCAAAGACAGGAAAAAATCATTATAAGACCAGTATGAAAACAATTAACAAGAAAAAGATGAGCCCAGATGATCTTTTTTCGTTTATCAACGTTTCAGATGTTCGATAAATAAAAAGATCTCTTCAACTCTGCATTTCTTTACAAATCACCGTTATAAACATGAAAAGCATAGCTAAATATTTGTTAGTTGAAAACAGACAACAAATAAAATATCTTCTGAAGCAGAATATATAACTCTTTTCATTCAAATTTAAACAACTTGAAAATTGTACAATACTGAATCGAAAGTCACTAAACAAGTTAGTGAACAATATTCAATCCTATTCTTATCTAATGCAGGGTAGGCTAAAGCCTACTTACTTTTACTGCCCGCCTTATTTTCTATTACAAGCAGTAATATGCAAATGTCCAGCAAAGACTTGAAAGCAAGTAAGTATAAATTCATATTTACAAAACAAATACCATATTATCAATGTCCTCTATGTCTATTTTCAGCTCTTAAATGATAAAAATCCATAGCTGTCATCGAAATATTCCAACCGGCCGTAACAGTTGCCACATAAAATATAAATAGGAATGTAATCGGATACAGGAAAATGTGTGTATTTTTCAGTATTGGAAGTGCTGAAAGCAACAAAATTTCTAAATGTTTGAAAACTGAAGATGGAATTGAAATCCTAATTTTGTTACTGGTGAGAATTAACAGATCAAAAAATTTTTAAAATCATTTTGGCTTGTAGTGACTAAAAAATTGATGTTACCGCTTCTATTTAAATATACATTTCCACGAATAAAGAAATGAACAAAGAAGAATACTACTCCTCCTATGATAAGCCCTATAAAAATGAAAATAGCTTTCGAGAATCAATCCACAAGTTTCATAACTTCCATCAAAACTATCAAAAAATTATACAAGATACCGGTGTATCCCAAAAAAGTGATATATATATAGTAAACTATAGCCACAAACCAAATTGTATTACCAAATAATCGCGGCAAAAATGCATCGAAGCCTATCAGATCTAAAAAGAAGTCTCATGTTGATATTTGATTCCGAATGTACATTAAATAAGCGACAATTACTACAGATTTGCAAAACTAGTGAATTAAGTTCCACTGAATTTTAAAAAATTATCAAATCCTACGCGAAAACGTGAGGGGCAAAAGAACATGAAGAAGCATAAGCATAGGAAAAAATGCGTTGAGATGCACATCAAAACAATAAGCCCATTCCACATCCTGATCCTCAACTCGCCTCAAGAATCGATTAGACACAAACCTAAAAATTTTTGCACTGAACTCGTTTATAAATGCATAAAATTGATTTTTCTGAATCAAACAAGTCGAAACAGAGAGGTAAAATTAGAGACAATCAATTCAAAGAGTAAATTCTATCCTTAGTTGATTAAATTTCATAGATGGAAACATTTTCCTACTTCAGTGATAGTCAGTCCTTTCTTTTCATTTCAGAATAAGACGATTAGCGAATTATCATCAAACAAGTGCAATTTACCATAAAATAGTAGCAATGAGAATTCCAACACCAATACAATCTATGAAAACGACCCATAAAAAAAATGCAATGAAGCCAATAAATGAAAGTTGAATAGTCCATGCAAATAAAATACTCGAAATAGCAAGAGCTGACAGAAGAAGCACAAGAAAAGCGGGATCATCACGTGCCCACTGGTCTTTTGTTCCTGAAATAACAAAGGAAGTTTTATATTGCTACAAATGTACACGACAATGCAATCAGCAAAACTTGTCGATTATCTCTAGCACTGCATTTCATAATGATGATTTGCTGGAAACAGGAAAAAATAAGAACAGCCATATAATTTCTGTTTGGTTTAGCGTACAAACCGCAGAAATAAAGATTATTTGGCTAAACAACTTATAATAATTTCTTTCAAGTTATTATAAAATAATCAGCATTTTTCAATTTAATTTACCTTACTCTTCTTATTTTAAAAACATAAGAAATAAAGATTATTTGGCTAAGCAACTTATAATAATTCAAAAATTTTTTTTACCTTATTCTTCTTATTTCAACATTTATTATAAACATAAGAAAACAGGAAACGAACGCTTGCGATACATGAAGTTCCGGTACACTTTCTGAGGCTTGATTAGCAAATAAATCATCTGCCAAAGAGCAAATTCAAAGTCCATCTGATGAAAACGAATAAGTCGTCGAAAATAACGATTAAGTTTCGCTACTGCTGTCATCCTAACTGCTGTAAGACATCCTACATGATCCACAGATCTAAAAAATCCGTGCATGAATTTCACAAAATTTCGATTGCAAATAATTAAACCATATCCACAAAACAATATGATAGTAATTGTGTTGCCGGATTGATGCTGATAATTTTATTAGGCTTATTGCATTGAAATGAGAGAAGTTTTATAGCAAATTATATCGTTTCCCACTAAACAACATTCAATAGAAAACGTGCAGATAAATGAACAAAGAGAAGAAAATTTCAAAATACTGTAGATTTACAGCATAATAAATTAAACTAACCCGTTACTGGTAACAGATCTCGCACCAGGTGACGCATAACCACTGCCTAGAGATCTTCGACCTTGACCTCCAGAAGATGCGAAAGTAAACGAAGTACCGGGATGCACCATACTCTGTGGAACAACTGCAGTGCCTGATAAGCCGTCAGAGATTCGCATAAATTCATTTGCATAACTCATTTAAATTGTGTTTGCAAAAAGCAAATCTGAGAAAAGGACTAAAATCAACTGCTGACTGTAAAAGAAAACTTGCTAATAAGTTTCCAGTTGTGAAATATGTTTGTCATTTCTAACACAATACTTCAACATCTGATAAGTAAATAAAATGTTGTTGCCGTTCACTTCTATGAAACAATTAATATTTAATCAGATATTTTAGAATAAAGTTTTAACTTCCAAAAGTATAAAAAAGAAAAACTTCGTACGAATTTTTATGAAAAATCCTGAAAAAGAAAACATACATATATGCCATCACCAGTCATCCTTTCACATTTCAATTTAAATAAACAAAACCATGTCACCTATCGTTATGTTTGCTTACTTACGCAATTTAATTTTAATATTTTAATCATCATTCATAAAGATTTTAAATGAGAAATTCTTGAGTTCGGTTTCCAGTCGATGAATGTTAAGAAGACATAAATGGAATAAAATAATCTATTAATGTTACAAATATTTCTCGAATATATAACACATAATTGAATCACTGCCGAAACTGTTTCTCGAAAGAATATTTTAGGGAGGCACTTGATATGTTGTCCATAAAATAAATAATTAGTGTAGGGATAAAACAAATCGAAAATATTTTGGCGCTTTCGATAATTAATCTGAAATAAAACATAATTTAATTGTAAACAGAAAGCACATAGAGATACAAAAAAGTTAGTCCGTTAGCAGCTTAAACTATATAATTTTCATTCTAATTTACAATTAAGTGTTAAAAGACAGTAAAAATTAAAATAATTATGATGATGAATTAAAAATGAAACAGTTAGAATTTTAAACCACGAAATAAACATTCCCTGAATTATTTCTTTTGACGTTGACTGGTTGTAACACAATGAAAGAAGACAACTAGCAAAAGCATAGCAATGCCTAAGGCATTCGCCATAACGCCTAATTGCATATCTGTGATCATTGCGACGCCTGAAATTGCTCAGAAAAAATGTTATTAAACTTTTGCATGTACGTGAAATACAGTCGTGTCGGAAATATAAAAACCATTTACACAATCAAAGTATATTTGTATTCTTGAAAGCTATGCTGTTTTTCATCTGTTAGTAATTAATGATCTTTTCGGTGCAGCATGAGTTCCTCTTTTAAATGACCTTTACTTTGTTTATCATTAATTTCTCAATCAAATGTTCATCATTAGCCTCACCTATGAAATGTTTTACTGCAAATAGCATTATCTAACGAAAAGTATTCCAGTGTAACTTACTGCTCTGAAACGAAACGATCTTACCATCTACACTCTCCTCAACAAACAATCCAAATTATTCTCTCGACGACTATTTCTACTCTCGATAATTACTGATAATTAGATTATAATGTTAAAAGAGAATAAAACTCTCCATTAAATACTACAATTCAATTACCTCAAAAAACAATTCTCTTAAAATAAAAGGTCACAACGGTGTGAGAGAAAAGCATACGTGACGGAAGTGGCAATAAATGCGATTAATTATACTCAACAAAGAAGAAAAAAACATAATTTAAATAATCAAAGCTAAGCATAAAATAAAATGAGATCAAACGTGAATAAGTAAGTCACAATCATTTGAATAAAGCATGCTAATTGATCGCATTTCATAAAGAAAGTGAAGGTTGCAGTAAATGAACCCGAAGCAGAAGTGATACTGAACTCCCCCGAATCCCACGGGAACTACACCCCCGCACCGTCTCGAATTACTCAAAAGCTCGGATACGGAAGAATATCAGCCAGCACTGCACTTTTACACCGAATGGTTCGGCCAATATTCAGTGGTCTGAGGAAGGAAAGGAGTGGGAGAGGGAGAAGGAGTGGGAGAGGGAGAAGGAGTGGGGGAGGGAGGAGTGGGAGAGGGAGAAGGAGAGGGAGAGGGAGAGAGAAAACCTTTCGACAACGGGAAAGAAAGAGGGGTGAGGCGGCGGGGAAGCGGAAAGTGTGCTTGTGGAGCAGGCGGAAAAAGTATCGGGAGAGGATGGTAGTCTCGTAAAGCTTCTCGCAATCATTTCTACCTCCAATTCTTTGCTCTTCTTGCATTTCGTTGATTTTATTCAGATTAAATTTGTTTTGATATTGTTTACAAATTAACTGATCCGAGAGTTCTAAAATGAGACCGTGAAAGTAATACTGTACCATTTCGTTTTCTGTGTATAGAGACTATGCAAGTTAAAATTATTTATATTATTGAACAGCTTGAAGGCTTATTTTACATTCCATGAATCCTTTAGTAATCAGTTTAATCTAGCTGCTAACTCAAGCATACATACGAGAGGAATTATGGATGAAATGTAAATTACATATCGTTACAAGAAATATATGTATACATCTATTCTAATATTTATTAACAAATTGGGTTTATCAAAATTCGAGATGTGAAAAATATAGCGGACATTGTTAACTCAACATGAATCGTTTTCTGTGTATTGAGGCTATACAAGTTAAAATTATTTATTGAATCAAGTGATTTATTTTCTTCTTCCTTATTTTTCTTCATCTAAACAATAGAAACAGTTAACATTCATAGACACGTGACACGTGACACACATATATATATATGAGAATTGTTTTCAGATAGAATAATAGGAAAAGAAATTTGTGTTAAAAATTTCCTGCACATTCTTTTAAACTTTAAAGTGTTAAAACAAATAATTATCTGGATTGGACCTTTAGTTTCAGAGATTATTTGGAAATCGATTAAAGAAGCTTTAGCGGACTTCGCATTTGGCTCTTCCTTTCTGTTCATCGATTTCTCTTCTTTTCCTTTCTCTTTGCTGTCGTAATCACATCACTTTTCTGTTGGAAATTTTATATTTCATACCTGTAAATAAACATTAAATCAAATTTACAGTCAAATGATATCTTAGAAATTATTTAAACAACGGAAGAATATCTGTCGAAATATCGCAGGAGGAATTATTCTGTAACGGGAATTTTTTGTAAAATTTTCTACATTTAGATTCCTGGAAGATGATGTTACTCTGTCCTGAGATATCTTGAGAAGATCAGCTTGTATACACACATATACTGAGTTCAAATTATTGTAAGATTTGTCTTGTGCGTCACGAAAGATGTTTAGACCTGAATCACTTTAATTGAGAGTAACTATTCCAGTTTGATGTCCACAGATACGACAGTTACCAACGAAACGGACAATTTCCCGCTTGCAGATGACGGTAAGCTTCAAGATGAAGTTTGAAAATCATGAAAAATTCTTTCTGCATTGTTAAAATTTTAAATGATTTGTAGAATCTCAAGGAAGTTCAATAGATACAGGAGGTCGGATCCCTCGTCCGGCACAACCGTTGCCGAGAGAAGAATCTGATGATCAAGAAGAAAAAGCACGACTAATATCACAAGTTCTCGAACTTCAAAATACTCTGGACGGTAATTTCAAATTCTTTATGCAATTTTTATAACGTCGCAGAATAATATTTTACATGGATGCTTCCATCTATGTTAAAATATTATTCTGCGGCATTCTTTACCGTCAATCATCAATGTTAAAACAAATGTGAAAATTTTTTTCAATTAAGGTAGCGATTTCGATAAAGCAGTCTTTATTGAATTTAGAATCAATGTTTTTATCATTTTTTCAAATTCTTGTCGCGTAAAAAAATTTTAATTAATAAATAATTTGCAGAAAACTAAGTCAAAAAATAATCTTTTTATTTCAGTTTAACTTTTTTAATACTGTCATCAACTCTTCCATAACTCCATGATTCTTGATATTTTAAGGTAGTGTTTATAGATTTGAGTCAGCGCGTCGATAGTGTCAAAGAAGAAAGCCTAAAATTACGATCTGAAAATCAAGTGCTTGGGCAATACATTCAGAATCTAATGACTTCAAGTGCTGTTTTTCAGCCTGCTCAACCAAAGGCACCGCAAACCAAGTAATTTGAATTTCTGCTCATTTTTTTTGTATTTAATATAACTTGTGCTTAAAGAACTGCCACCATAAGATCTGAGTTGTGCTTAATTTTTTCAGTGAAACGCATGATTTTTGTCATTTGCACGGGTTTGATTGGAATCTAATTATAACTCCTATCTCATTAAATGAAACTTACAAACCTGTAATAAAAATGACAGTTGGAAATTTTCAGACTGTTATCCTGTGAATAATTACATTTCTTGTCAATAACAGCACGTCCATCTTAAATTTTATGCTATTTCATCATGAATTGTGAATTTCTTTTTTAAATATATGAAGCTGTTATCAAGTAGAAATGCTCTTTTTTCCTTAACTTCAACGCTTTTATTACGTAATGTCACGATTTCAAGAATGAACTTACTAGCGTTTCTTATATTGCAAATATTTTCTTATTGTTACATCCCTCCAAGATAATTTTTGTATTTGTTTCAAGCAAAAGTCTTTACCTATGTTACTCATTTATATTACTTCAGAGTTAAGGAACAAAAACAAGCTTCAACCGAAAGAATTTTTCAGTGGATCTCAGTTTATTTTATCATAATTTTAGAAGTCTTAACTGTGCTTAATATTCTAATGAGCTAAAAAACACCAATTTATTTAACTTGCTTCAAGTGGAATGCTTTGATATGTTAGCTATATTCTTCTATTGTGATAAAGACTGGTCAGAAAGTCAACGACAAGTTGCGGAATCAATGAAGCTACCGTTATTAGCCTACGTTACTCGAAATTGTTACTTTGTAATTTGTAAATTTCACTTTCTTTATGTAATTAAATGATAATGCGAAGTAAATCACAGTTCCAGTATGAAATTCAAATTCATCACATTTAATTTATATTTTTTTCAGCCATCATTTTTTTAACTGTAAGTGTACTTCTTGTTTTCATATTTCATTCTATCCCATTTCGTCACGATTTCTTTAGTTATCACTAATTGCCTTCATTTTTTATCTTTTCCAAATCACCTTCTACACTTTCTATTCATATTTTGCACTATTTTCTTACTGCATTTTAATTAAAGGAAAGGTTCGCAAGTGTCATCCAACTCAAACTAAGTATTCAGAGAGGACCTGCAAAAATTTGAAAAAAAAACACTACTAAATAAAAAAATATCGAAATGAATAGAAAAATTATTGAAGAAGTTATCAGGTGAACAAATTCTTGAAATAAAAAAAGCCTGTCCACTGCTTCGATCTCACTTGTTTTCGCTAGTCTATTATTCATTTCTAGATATTTAACTTTTTTTCATTTAAATTTTTGCAGAGCTCTTTTCTCTGTTGTGTGTATTGTGGAATTTAGTCATTTCAAGATTAATTTCTCTTGAGAAACTTTACTGCATGCTTATCCTTTAGGTTCACTTTTACCCATTCTTTTCAAGGAAATTTTTGCTTAATTGTCTGCTTTTTCTTTTTTAGAAACGAAATGTTTGGAGCATTCTTTTGGTGAGGAATATACAAAATCCTTTATGGATGAAACAGGTAGAGAACCAGCTGGGATGAATTGTCGGTTATATCCAGAAATCATTAAAATTACCGCGGTAGTGATTGTTCATTTCCTTATACCACCTTAGTGCAATCGATTTCACGTAATCAAAGATCATTTAATTCTGTTAATTGATTTTTTTAGTGCGTTAATTATTATTTTTCTGCCTTGCTGCTAGTTTAGTGCCTTCGTTATTTCTTGATGGAAATAGTTGAATTACTGTTATCGCAGGGACGCTGTGATCAGGCAATAGCTTCAATGCTTGGAAATCAATAACTGCTTGAACTCCGCATCCAATCACTGTTCATTGTGTTCTTATAAAAATGGAAAATTTAAAAATGAATAACAAAACCACTTCATATTCTGCAAACTCTCCTTCTTATTTTACTGCATCCTGTTATATACCAATACAGTTGAAACAAACGATGATTACAGAGATGTTCTTAGGTTCACAATTAAGGCTGGCTGAAGAGTAAGATGAGCTGATAGAATTACAACTCTCAATTCTAATTGAAATTGGAATAATAATACAGTAAAAAGTCCTGCAATGGACAGATTTCTGTTTCGCCAATCTTAGCTTAAAATCCATAATCTGTAAGTCCAGCATGTAATATTAGATTTCACCAGTGCTATTTTTTTTAATCCAGAGAAACAAAACAAATCTTCCAGTCCCTTGAAGTCTGATATTTCGTCTGACGTCTCATTGGTTAGGATTTAAATTTTTTCAGTTCATCACTTTTTTCACGTTAAACATATCATGAAATCCATTTAAAAAATTAGCGTCTTTTAGGAATATCCTTAAGATTTATAAGTGAATGTAACAAAACACATTGCGATTACAGTTTTTATTCATACGTTGGTTAAGGAACTGGTTTACACTACAAAGTGTAGAAAATCATACAAGAAGGTAGGCTTTGTCGACGACAATACATTCTCTCTCATAAAATTTTGTAGTCATTTAAAATGCTTATGCGTTACACTGTATAAACGTAGAAATTGAGATGAGATCGAGTATGAGGTAAGTATTGCTCTTAAGCCGCAACCTTCTTGTTCCTTGCATGTGCTGCTGTCGCCTTCTTTGTAGCTTTCGACTTAACTGGCGAAGCTTTTGCCTTTTTTGGTCTGCCGGCAGCCTTTTTGTTCTTCCGAGTTCCATCTGCAGGAGCAGCACTTGATTTCTTTTTTGGTGCAGCTTTTCGTTTCGGAAGCTTCGGCGCAGCTACCTTAAATTGAGAAGTCACAAACTTTGATGCACAATGATTTGTAAATGTCTTAGCAAAATATATTATCACATGAATAAAACCAAATGATCTAACTGGTTCACAGATTAAATATCACCCATCAACAGCAAAGTGGTAATATTGATGTCAAAACAAGTTAGCTAGATAATAAATGACCTTTTTTGTACCAGATTTTGCCTCCACAGACTTTTTCGGCGACAGCATCTTTATATCATTAGTTGTAACAGACTTTTCGATTGTTGGCTTCTTGACTTTTTTAGGTGGTTCTGATTTTGCATCAGCCAAGCGAAATGATCCAGAAGCACCGGTACCTTTCATTTGCTTCAGAACACCTGATGCTACACCGCGCTTCAGTCCCATTCGAAGGTGCGCATTAACCTGAATTTTCAAAATCCATTTATTGCTTGCCTACAAAATAAAAAAAAACTGTAGCTCGCAAACATGACAGGTAGAGTGATGACAATCTGTCAAATGCAACTTTAACTTTTTTTTTTTAGCTGTTCAATGCTTTGCCATCGTTTGTAAGTATACAAGTGAAAAATCTTCAGGATATACATCGAATCCTACCGGGATCCATAATAATGCTTGCATTTCGAAACAACATCACTGATTCTTACTGTATGCTAATTTATACTCCACTAATTTCCATCACAAACTCATTTCAGACCACATTGAAATGAGAATGGTTTTTTTTTGAAAAATCAAGAATTCACCATAGTAGGATTTTCGCCAACCGCAAAATTCTGCATGATATACTTCAGGATTGCAGCACGGCTCGAACCCTTCTTATCTTGCGTAGCGAGAAGTGCAGCCTTGATCATGTTTCCGTAAGGTGGATGATTGTGTTGCGACTTTGCATGCGATTTCAGAGCTTTAGATGTTGGAATATTGACATTCATCCGTGCTACCATATTCCTCTTCTTTCCAATTGGTGCAGTTATCGATGCACCAGTGTTAGATGGTACTACGACAGTGAGATTATCACCAGTAGCTGCACTTGGGGCAGCAGCAACCTCCTCAGTGGCTGGCATTGTTTGTTAGATTATATTGGTCAGGGATGAGAGAAACCGCTGAAATTACAATGAGCTGAACCAATGTGCTATTAATGGAAACAGACAATGTGCGTGAAAAAATCGCTACATGAATACGTGAGAATAGACATTTTATGATATTATGCAAAATGTAACATAAAGGAAATACTTTCTACCAGCAAAATGTTACGAAAAACAATCGAAATAGGTTAATAATTCGGGAATGAAGAGGAGATGAGAAAGATGATTGCTGCCATATTTCTTCGATATCCCAAAAGATCGGACTCTTATTCTCCCGTATTCTCTCCTACTACTGGTCATAATAGCCCGGCAAAAAAGACTAACAACTATAAATGTCATATTATAATGGATAAATGATGTGACTAAAAATTAAGACAGTAAAAATGATGCAAATTTTAAGAGTTAGATTCCTTCACAACCAACCTATTGCACATAGTTAATGCTAAATGGTAAGCACTAAACAGTTATCACATAATTATACGTATCATTTTTTTTATCTGCATAGAAAGTGTTCAGAAATTAATAATTCTTAGAAATTTACTATTGTTTTGAAATATTGCCTTCTATTCTATTTGAGCATTAAAAATTTTATAAATGTTAAAATATTAAATGATTAAATCATTAATGGAAAAATAAAAAAAATAAATAAATAAATGTTAAAATATTAAATGATTAAATCATTAATTAAAGCTGTGCATCTAAAAAATTTCGCATTGTAAATACGATTTGAAAATCCTTTTAAGAGAACGAAAAGTTTAGCGGAAATTTCATTACTTTTAGACTTCGAATGCTATCACCGAAATTTGAATCTTTTTTAAGAATTTCATTTCAATACAGTAATGATAATTTGGAGAATTCTTTCAAACGAATGATACAAAATGCTTGCAATTTCTACGTTAAAAATGGCAAAAAACCTGCATAAAAAAGCTTATTTCACGTGACACAACCTTTCAAGTACACTTATACGACAGTTAAAAGTCAAAATACCCCGGTATAATGTCTAAAAAGTCCTCGAAACAACCGATCCAAAGCAGCGTTTTCACCAGAAATGGTTGGATATGATGAGAAACAGCTGTATATGTGGCAAGAACGATGCGACGACTACGCTGGGACTCCTCACTATGGTTGTATTCGCTCCAAAACATACATTGTCTGCTGGTAAGTAGTACTTACAAAATAACACGTAATATGTCACCTACGAATGCTAATCATTTAAAATTATGATAAGCGTATAGCCGACAATTTGCGCTATAAAATGAATATAAATTTGACCATTAAACAATTCTAATTAAGCAGGACAAAGCGTTTGAATTGTAGAAATTTCAAATTTTATATCTTTTTTTCACTGTTATTTACGCTTTTTAAAAATCGCTCAAAGTTACTTATAGCTAATTTTTGGAGCACTAATTAATCGATTCTCTACTCTATACTTTAGCAAATTTGCATTTTGATTATTCTTTCCGAGGTGTTGTAAAATAGCTTTTATTTGAGTGTACTCAACAACGATATCTGATAAGAAAGATGAAGTTCGGCTAGCTTGCGGTGAATAAATCGTATAAAATTTGGTACTTTTGGATTCGAAATTTAATGAGTCATTTAATTAGGTTGGTTTGAGATCGATCCAACAACATTATGAGCAGAAAAATGGATTGCTAAAATTGTTTGAGAAGCGATATGTAGTGATTTGTAATGTATTGCAATGGTCGTACCATTGATGTCACACTCTAAGGCAACCATACATTTTTTCCACTTCGTCATTCCTCTCTGGTATAGACTGATAAGGATGGCTTAAAATAATAAATTAATTAAATTTTTGAAATTGAAAAGATTTGAAAAGTGAATCTGTTCAAACAAAGATATGACAAATGTTGTGATGACATTGCTTCACTATGCCATTTCATTTATCATTGCAAATTTCCACCAATAATTAATCCCATTATCTCTAGGATAAAAAAAAGGGAACTAAAGTAATTTATGCCCAATTGGCTCAAAGTGAAATTTATTAAATTTTGAAAATTTCTGAAAGGATAACAGTCTGCAAAAGTGTAGATTGTGATGACTGATGTGGTGGATATGATTATTGTTATTAGGATAATGGAATTTTAATTTTTTTACTTTTTAATAAAGAGAAAGGAAAGGGATGCAGTTAAGAGACAAATCTATTCAACCAACCTAAAAATTGCAAATTTTCATATTTCGTAGTATTTCCAAATTAAATCAATCTGGATTGTTATTGGGCTAATACTACTAGCTGTTATCATTGTATCACAAGTACTGATAAGTCATTGCATAAATTATATTTCGGAAATTGGAATTCCTCCCAAGAAGGATATCGATTCTTCTTCCTTACTGTTCTATTGAATTCTTTACTGTTATATTGAAATTCTTTTACTAATTTTGAATTTTATTAATTTTATTATGTTCTAAAAAACTATTGTGATACCTTTATGCCTTAAAAACCTAAAAGACAATGACAGATATCTTGAAGTTAACGAACATGAAAGTATCACAATTATTTACGGCACTTCGATTCAGACAAACAACAAGTAATAACCGACCTCATTTGCATTTTCCTTTGTTCAACTATGAGAATGTTGAATTTTTAATAGTTTAAATAGTAAACAGTAATGTACATAGTGAAATTCATTCCATCAAATGATTACAATTGCGAAAAAAACATGAAGATTTTCAGTAAAATTTCGCAGGTTTTGAATGCAAGCAGATAATATATCGGAGGATAAATTAAATGAATAAAGAGTAAATGAAACGCGACAAAAGTTAATGCAAACTTTTTCCGGAAATTACGAATCAGGAATGTAACATTGTCCATATGTCAAGCGGAAAACAGTTAAATGAATAAGAGTTTATCTGCTGAATGGAATACAATTCAGAGGAAAAAATATGCAAGATATTCACTAAATGTTAAAAAGTTAAATTATTTGCAATAAGGAAATATGTTTGAGGCAGGAATAACGAAATAATTAGTAAACAAAAAAGAACAGTAATGAAAAATCTCATATACTTTTTTTTAAATTTTTTCTGGTGTTACCAAGATTAAAATCATTAAGATAACAAATTTTAGGATTTGAAATTTTTAATAGTACATGAATAAAGCAATTATTTTAGTTACAGCAAATCAACAATTATTTTAGTTACAGCAAATCAACTATCTAAATAACTATCGTAACTATCGTATTCGTAACCATCATATAGCTATCGTATTTTTTTCCGTTTAAAACATCAAACGACAACGTTATTTTCATTTATTATGCAAATTCCTCCAGCTATATTAATTTTTGCAGATTTTATATCTATGCTTTCATTAAAAAAAGAAATGAAAATACAAAAAAAAAAACAGTGAAAGCAAATTTGCGAGTTGAATAATGTTTCGAAATTTTTTTCTCTGGAAAGTAAACATTTAAAATAATTTTGTTTATTAAACAATAATAATTTAAATTCATTCTGATAATTGAAATTTGTATGCACTTCTTCTTTTCCAAAAAACGATTGAATCGAACCTGACATATTTGACATACACATCAGTCTTATTTGTTTTATCGTCGTTTCTTCTTTTTCGACTTCTACAAATATTAAAATAAAATTGCAATCGAAACCCGACCGTTAAAAATTAATTTGTAAATTCAAGTTTTTTGAGATTATTAGTCAGCTTACGGGTGCCGTTGTAGGCATTGTATGTATGTGTACATATACATATGACTCTATGCAACTATTAATATCCGACATCAATCAATACTGTGTTCTTGAATTTTTTGTTTTTGTATGTCTTTGAATTCTTAAAAAAGAATATTGCTTCCGATGAAGTAAAACTTGAAACAAAGGAGAACAGCATTGCTTAATGAGTTAAAGATGTATTGTGTAACAATCAAAAGTTATCATACATATGTCTTTTCTTTTGCTTTATTATCCGGTAATGCTTTCGTTTTATTTTCCGATAATGCTTTTACCTTATTTTCCGGTAATGCTTTCGTCTTGTTTTTCGGCAACGTTTTTGTCTCACTTTCTAGTGGAGTTTTCGTTTCATTTTCCGGTAACGCTTTCGCCTTATTTTCCAGTGATGCTCTCGCCTTACTTTCCGGTGATGATTTTGCCGTATTTTTCGATGTCGCTGCTGGAGTGGGTGTCTTTTTTGAAATGGTTTGTTCCTGAGTATTAAGTTTTTCTGATATTGCAGCATTTTTATGAACATTGGTACTTTTAACATGAAATTTGTTTAAGAAAGCAAGATTAGATCCTTGAAAAGAATCGTTCGAAATATTTTCGACATCAACCAGCAAAATGAACAAGCAGTGTAATATGTCAAGGTAGGCATCACTAACATCCCAAGCTGCTTCAAAGGTTCGTGATAAGATTGCAAAACTTAACAAATGACTGATAAACATGCTTTCATAGTCGATTAATTCCTGATCAGATATAGCAATCAGTTCATGCTTCATTTTTTCAAACACTTCTCGCGCTTTTTCGCCTGCCAGGGCAATGTCATAGAAAGTCAAGAGGTGTTTACAAAATTCCTTTTCAAAACAAATTAAACGTTGACGTGTCTCATCTTCATTTGATAATAATTTCTTTTCATTCAATTTCACATATGAAGCGATTGCATCAACATGCTGGATTAAATTAGAAATATAATTTTTAATATCGGTGGCGAATTTAATATAGGAATTAAACTCCTTTTCGAAGGACTCTGATTGTTCATTTGTGAGTAAATTGCAAGATTTCATTTTCTGACCCACTGCTTTTTTTTCGCAAATGTCGCATAACAATAATTCAGCATTTCTAAGAGCTAGTTGGTTGGCCTTTTGCACCGATTCGCTGCTTACAATAATAGATTTAATTACAGTTTGCGTAATAGTTACTTCTTTAAATTCTCTTTCTGCCTGTAGTTCAGAATCTATTTTTTCTATTTCGTATGATATTCCAGAAATTGATGCAACTTCTCCATCATTAGCTTCGACGGATTGTAATTGTTTCTTTGTAACAGTTACTGTACTTTTTCCGGGAACAACTTCTGAAGACATTCCATCCGACTTTAGCGATAATTCTTTTATTTTAGAAGTGATCACGATCATTTCAGAGGTTGTTCCATCGTTTTCATAAGTAGCTGCGATCATTTCATCATTCATTTCATTTATCGGACTATTTATATTTACTTTCTGAAAATCCTTCGTCTTCTGGTGTTCTGAAGAGATATCCTTGTAAAAATGATCCTTACATTTTTCACACACTTCGAACCCATCATTAACCAAATTCTCATTCTTATGCCGTTCGATTGAATCATGAGATATATTCTTTGATTTCATATCCGCGTCTATCATTTCGGACAAGAATGGCATCATTTTTTCTATTGTAAACGCTACTAATTTGTGATCTTCTAAAAAAGTAATATTTAATAATAATTAATAATAATGATAGTAATGATAATAATAATAATTTCGCATTTCCTTTATTAGAATTTTTTTTTGATATTTATCCTAAAATTGTATCGGTCAGGCAGGCTGTAAGAAAGGGTACATAAAGTGAAATAAAACCTCGTTAAAATTGGAAAATTTCAAAATTATTTAACTTTACTTTTTTAATGTAAAAAATGGAGTAATATAGTGGACAGTTTTTAACCATTATATTCTTTGTCTCAGAATTGAATTGATAGAAATAGCTTGCATTAAAAAAATTCATTTTTTTGATTTTTAAACAATAAAAAAATGCTTGCTTGCAGTGATGAAAATTACTTACTTTGAAAATTGTCTATATAGTCTGTCAGAGTCTTACAAGCAAATCGAATCTCTTTGAATGGATCAGTCTTTTGATTGCTACTAACATCCTAAATTTTTGAAAAATTACTAGAAAGAGCCAAAAAAAAAACAAATAAACAAATCCAGAGATTATAAAAGATAAAAACATTTTAAAAAATATGCAAACGTGAAAAACTTTGCTTATTATACAATATACTGTCATACAGTTAAAAGAGTATATCAAGTAAAAATTTTAAAATCTAATTACTATTTCAAAATGGAAACTCAAAATTCCTAAAACAAACTAAAAATAAAAGATTTCTATTGAGAGACAATAAAAAATATGCTACATTTTTTAAGTCTTCTAATTTATTTGATACTAAAGGCAAAATAGACCTTCCAAAACATTTAATATTTCATTCAATAAAAAAAATTCCAACTATTTCAAATTTTAAGAATTTTTGATTCATCATACATTTAAAATTTCAAAGTTAGGTTTAATTTATAAATTAACCATTGCAATCGATGACGATCAGACTGCACTGATAATTCGATGCAACCAAACTAATTTGATCGTTGATGCAACTTCTACACAAAAACCAAAAAATAAAATAGGAAAAATTTGAATAAATAAAAAAGAAAATGCAGAAAAAATTATGCAAATTATTTTCAATTAAAACAATGAAAATAACAACATTTTTTTTCAACTAAAAGCACAATGAGCATTGAATAAAAGAAATGAATAAAAGTGAAACATTATTAAAGTCTTTTTAATATGTGAAAATTTCTAAAAATATCAATTTAAAAAATCCTTTAAAAAAGAAATAAAAATAAGTCTAAAGAAGTCCAAAAAGAGAAAGAAAAAGTTAATGAAACAATAATTTCAAAATCAATGTAAAAATTTCTTAAATTTAATTTTTTGGAGAAACTATTAAATAACGAGTTTAAAATATGAAATAAAATTCTTGGGAGTTTTTTATCATTCTTTACTTAATACTTTTAATTAAAAAAATGTTAGAAACCTGATTTATATTTGAGATTTTTTTTACAAAAAAATCATTTTCTTAACTTTATGCTTTTATACTGAAGCTATTACTTGGAGAAGTTATAGAGACGAAGAAAATTTTCATGGAAAACTAAAAAAATGAATTTATATTTCTTTCATGTTAATTGAAACCATTAGATAAAGCTTATAAATTTCAGCCTAATCAATCTAGTTAGTCTTATTAGGTTCAACATGGTACCAAGACATTCTAAAAAATTAAAATGCTAACAATTTAGAAAATAAGCAGTGTTGTGAATGACAAACTATGACAAGTAAAATATTAATTTTCAATCCTTTATTCCAAATAAACAAAAAAATTACTTTTGTTGCCTCTGCTTTACTACAAGCTTAAATCTCTTCAAATTTCTTTACTTTCCTTTCAAGTTCAAAGAAAAAAGCTAAAAATATGCAAAAAAGGAATAGGTTTAATGCCAATAACAATAAAAATAAACTTACGAATCATTCATTTCTTAACATATTATCAAATAAATGCTATTTATGTGAAATATCAAAAACAAATTGTGCAAAAAAATTTTAATCTAAATTTTTGTCAACATCAACTTATCTAATCAAAATGATAATAAGGCAATAAAAAAAAGCTAATAAATAATGGGTCATTTACTCTTATTTTCAAATAACTTACTGATTTCTGTATTGGTGCTTTCAAAAAATTTGGAATATCACATAATTCAGAAGCAAATTTCAATTTCAATTTTTGCTCTAAAAATGTATAATTTCTCCAATCAAAAGAAATACTGATTTCATCGTTATGTACCTGAAGACAAAAAAAAATTTTTTGGAGAAATTTTTTGACGAAAAATTAAAAATTATCAAGTATAAAACAGATTCAATATTTTACATTTGCATTTATCCATTTGCAAACTTTTAGGGTCAATAGGCCTCTCTCTCTCTCATAATATATATATAAAATCATCTCATAATATTTAATAGAATAATACTAATAATGAAACACATCAATTTTGTTTTTGAAATAAAATAATGCAAGAATAATTTTCATTAGCATATAAAAGAAAAAAACAGTAAAACATTGAATATGTTTTGATTTTTTGATCTAAGCGTTCAGTAACGTTCACCTCTTGAAGTAAAAGAACAGAACGGTCAGCTGATGCAAATTTTTTGAAATTTTTTAAATGAATATGAAATCATTTTCTTCTTTTTTTTCTGAAGGAAAATATTCCCTTACACTTTCATCATGCTTGACCTCTGGTATTTGATGTTCATCATTATCAATTTGATTCCGTGCGTCTGAAGCATCTTCGGGATTTCGTCTTTGTTCTAACTCCATAACATCTGCAGTGGGTATAATAATTTAAAACGAACATGTGCCTAACCTTAATACCTTTATTGGGTGCATCTAAAACACCTTTGGAAGTAAATTTGAATGAATTGAAAAAAAATACATGCCATTTTGATTCAGTACATTTAAAATTTCCCCATGATTCTGGTTTTGTTGTATCTGATTAGGATCGACAGTAATTAAAATGAATTGAAAAGGAATGGCATAATTTTGATTTGAAACTTTTTTGGGATTCTGCTTTTGTTTTTTCTTCTTCATATCTGCAATATATGTGTTGAATTTACGAAAGAAAAAACATAAAAACGAAATACAATCGCAAAAAAAATTTCAATTCATTGTCTTTCTTTTTTTTGAAGAATCAACACGTATGCTTATAACAAATGAATTTAATTATAAATTTTTTAAATTTCGAAATTTTTTTGGATCAAAATTCAAACTACAAAGTGTTCATCTCTCTCCAAAAAAAAGAGAAAAAACGTTACAATGTTGTTGTGAAATATTTCAAACTTTGAATAATAATTTAAATTTCTACAATTTAGTATCTAATATTTTGAAATTAAAATTTTTGCAGTTTGATTCAAATTGATTCGTTTCTGTTTATTTATTACTATATGTTAATGTTTGTATTAAATAATGATTTGCTGGATACATAAAAAGAAACAAATGATAGAATAAATGAATTACAAAATAAAATGTATCACACATAACAAACCCTTTCATACAATGCTGAAAATATTTCAAAGAAAAAAGAAATGACCGCCGAAAGGGTCATAGAAAGTTCTATCAAAATTTGACCTAACTTTACTTTTCTAGGAATTTCTATTGCATTTACTTTTCTTCCAATTTTAAAAATTTTCCTATCTTCATTGAAATCATACAATAATCATAAGCGTTCAGCAGTAGACATTTTTGAAAGTCTTATTCGGAATTTGTTAAAATAAAAAAAAAAATCAAGAGAAATATGATTGTAAAAATTTAAATAACTTAATGATAATACAATATGATGCGTTGTTACAACGTTTTTCAAATTATAAAATGATCAAAATTTGTTTAATCAAATTAATGTTAAATAGTAGAAAGCTTTCGTGTTAATTAAAAGAATTTTGTATTAATTAAAAAGTAAATTAGAAAAAATAATGCTAAATTTGTAAAAATTGATGTAATGTTTTATATTCATTTAGAATATGGTAATTTAAAACAATTGCTATCTAAAAGATACGAATGGATTTATATATTTTAAAATACTTCAGGATGAATTTACTAATTTTAAAATTTTAAAAGAATAGTAATTTGTTTAATTATTAATAATTTGCCAAGCATTTTATTTTATAATATTTCAGATATTTGTTATACAAATTGCCTTCTACTCTATCATATGATTATATTGATTTTATTGAGTTAAAGCTGACGAAACTTTATTACATTTAAGTAAGGCAAACGGTTAACAATTCTTTCAACATCAATTGCTAATAATTACTGAAAGCAATTATTAGCAGTTAACATTTGTAATAATCTTGTATCATTTTAAGATTAAATTACAGCGGAAGTAGACAAATTCAAATTGGTCAATTAAAAAAAATTATGCATGAAATTTAATGCAATAATATAATTTCTCCATACCATATAAAAATGCAATGATATAATCCTTGTATAAAATATCAGTAACTAATTACTGAATTAGTACAACAATAATAAATAAAGTAAAAATATTAAAATTTTTTTATTTGTACTATTTATTTGTAAAGAATGATACAAATAGTTTACAAAAATCATTTCTTTTTTGATAAGTTGTAAAAGTTTACAGTAACATGAATATGTTAGATGTAGAAGTTAATTATTATGTGATACAGATCAAAAATGATCGTATTGTAGATATATATATATAATATTCAAATTCCTAAACGATCAAAATAAAACATTATTTTTTGCTATTGTTCTAAGTAAGCTTATTTTGATGCGGTTCTGACCGGTATTTATAATTCATCGGTTAGGGAAAGATTCCATCATTTAACTGAATTTTAATCTGTTTAATCAATATGATAGAATACATATATGCTACTTTATTTTACAATTAATATATATTGTTCAACGTGAATTAATTGAATAAAATTTTTGTGTTCAAAGTAATTTAATCGACCGGTTGATATACTATAAAATAATGCTAAATTGTAACTGATATTACTGATCTGATTAATTGGTGATTTTAGGAATTTTAGGAGTTTCAACTTTTTCAACTGAATAAATTGGCTGGTAATCATTTATTAGCCACCACACATTACAAATATGGCAGATGATAATAATTATCGTTCAGCTGATAATGGACAACAAAATGATCGAAGTATTATATCAGGAAATGATGCAAATGCTACTTCCAACAGTTATAGTTCAATTAAAAATGTTGCAACAAATGATAATGATAATCTTAATTACAATGTTCTAGATACCGCATATATTGATATGGTTATCAAAAAACTTAATGCTAATAGTTCATTGAGTGGAAGCGATAATAATTCAGGATTTATTACGGCAAGTTCTTTTATTTCATTTATTTGAATATATCAAAGTATTCAAGCAGCATTTATAAGAAGTAAATTTATGCTGAATCAAAAAATTTTAGGTTAAGAAAAAAGCTCTCATTTTTAATTATTTTGATATAATTTGTCATTCATTTATTGCATTTAATTACTTTTTAGAATAAAAGAATCGCAGAGTCTGATGATTCAAGTGAAGCCTTAGAAGAAAGCAAAAAAGCGGACGATACTCATTCATTATTTAAAAGATTGAAAACAATATCTAATGCAACGGGAGAAAGTTCAGGAAGCAGTAATATTTTTGAAAGACGGGAGAAACATTTAATATATAATTGTTCTACAGCATTAAGTTTACTAAATACGCTCAAGTTAAAGGCTTTGAAGAATCGACTTCGTTCTTTAAAAAAACTTATCAAGCAGCGTTTGCCAGACCCAAGGTCAAAACATCCTGCAAATTTCAAGAAGTATAAGAATATAGCAGATACCGAGTATTTAGAAAGTTCGGAATGCTCAAACACTTCAACAAATTCAGAACAATTCAAAAATTACGGATGTTCAAGCTCGGTTGATACGACCGAGCATTCGGCCAATTGGAAACATCCAACAAATTCCGAACATTCATCAAATGAAGAAGATTTATCAAATTCACAACATTCGACTGGTTCAGAACATTCAAGTGAAGACAATCCATCGGATTCACAACACTCGACTGATTCGGAAAATTCAAATCATGATCCATCGGATTCACAACATTCGAGTAGTTCGGAACACTCAACAGATTCTGAGCAATCAAATGAAGATTTATCAAATTCACAACATTCAACTGGTTCAGAACATTCAAGTGAAGACAATCCATCGGATTCACAACACTCGACTGATTCGGAACATTCAAATCAAAAAGATCGATCGGATTCACAACACTCGAGTAGTTCAGAACATTCAGATCAAGAAGATCCATCGGACTCACAACATTCGAGTAGTTCGGAACATTCAGATCAAGAAGACCCATCGGACTCACAACATTCGACTAGTTCGGAACATTCAGATCAAGAAGATCCATCGGATTCACAACATTCGAGTAATTCGGAACATTCAAATCAAAAAGATCCATCGGATTCGCAACACTCGACTGATTCGAAACATTCAACAGATTCTGAGCATTCTTCAAGTTCAGCATACTTAACAAGTTCGGAGTATCTGTCAAACCAAAAAAATCTAACGAATTCAAAATGCTCAACTAATTTAAAACATTTATCAGATCCGAAGAATCCAACAGATCAACAGCAATCGCAAAGTTCAGAACGTCCAGCAACATTAGAGCATGCAGCAAATCCGGAATATTCAGAACATTTTACAAGTCCAATAGTACTTGAATTTCTTTCAGCTCCATCGGAAACTTTTGAGACTTCAGAAATTTTGCAGTATTCGGAAAGTCAAAATTTCTGGACACCTCTTGTAGAGAAGGATCTTTATAGCGAAAAATCAAAGATTTTAATTGGTTCCATTGATCCGATGCTATCATTTGCATTAGAAAAATTGAAGGAGTCTTCGATGAAAATGTCAAATGATAGCGATGATAACATGGAAACAAATGATATCTGCCCTTCTAAGAGAAATGCTAATGCAATCGGAAAAGAGCCAGAAAATCCTCAAAGATTATTCAATATAATAACTTCTAAAGAACTATCAAATTTAGAAAATGACGAACATTCAACTGCATGGAAGAATTCATTAATTATAAATGATGAATCATATATGGAATATTTTATGTGTTCACGATATTCCTCAATCAATTTATCAGATCATGAACAAGCATTCGATGCGAATAATCTGTTAGATGAAGGAGAACCACAAAATCAACCTTGTTTGCATTTAAATAATGGTGATAATCATACTGACTGACCGGACATTGAATATTGATGCAGTAATTTTTTTTTTGAACCTAAAAAAAATTTACTGTTTAGCATTACGATGAATTCATTTCTGATTGATGTTTTGGAACAATAATGCATCTCAAATATTTCAATGATATGTTTGATGAATTATTTATATAATTCTTTATCATTATTCAATCATATATTCAATATTACTTTCAATACCGGCTAATTTTTGGCTTTAGGCCTTAAAATGCCTTCATTTGTAGCAATTATCACACATGTGATAATATTATGATTATGCAAAAACACTTGATTATTATCATTTATTTATTTTCTCTTTTTTGTTCGTATTCATTAATATTGACATTTGCATTGTATTCTTTCTTGTAAGGTGAAATTTTAAAATTTAATTTTTCAAATTGAATTCATGTATGCGTTTTGGGTATGTATGTCCACAATTTTTTGAATTTTTTTTGAAAATGCTTTCTTTTTTATCGGGTGAAAGAATTAAAATCGTTTATTATAAATATGACGTATATTGTAGTTAGGATAGCTCGAAGAAAAAAAATTCAGGCATGTTACAAATTAGGTTTTTTAATTTTTTAAAAATCTTTTTCCTGGTTTATCTTGCAAATTTTCAATTGAAAAATTGGAAAAATTTTCGAAATCAAACATGAAAAAATATTAAAGCAAGCATTTTTTTCTGAAAACTTTAAATTTAAGGTTTTCGAAATAGACTAAAATTTAAGTGACAAAATTTTTTCAGTAAATTATTTGGCACACAAACACCCCAAATGCTCACGAAAAGAAAGCTAACCTATTACCTTTTTTTTCGCTTTTTAGATTTAAATTTAAAGCAATAAAGGTAGTTAAATGCAATATGAATATTAGCTTCTTCGGGTGACACAATTTTAAATATTGAATTTGGAGTGTTTCATATTTTAATTTGATTTCGAAACAATAAAAAGTTTGTGCCAATCCAAGTTGTGCAATCGATTAATCATTTCAGGCAAAAATTTCTCGAGAAAATTATCGACCCTTCTCTCTCCACCGATCCTTGACCCTCGATCCTTCACTTCCTAAGTAAAATTGATCCCTT